GGGAAGGGTTTCTACTCCAAATACTTCCTGATACCAAAACAAAAAAACAGAAGATGGAGACCCATTTTGGATTTGAGATCACTAAACAAATATGTAAAGGCACAAAGATTCAAGATGTTCACATTAGCAGCAGTAATTCCATTGCTGGACCAGGGAGACTGGTTCTCGGCCCTCAACCTACAAGATGCCTATTTTCATATCTCAGTTCAACCAACCCACAGGAGGTTCCTGAGATTCACCCTGGGTCAAGACCATTTTCAATACAGAGTGCTTCCATTTGGCCTATTGTGCACACCCAGTATGTTCTCAAAAGGTCCTATCTGTGGTAAATTAGGTCCTGTCTTTGCAAATTAGGAATCATGATATATCTGTTTCTAGATGATTGCCTACTCAAAGCATACTCCTTAGATGACACCCCATCAGCCATGCAGAAGACTACAACTGAACACTCAAAAATTGACTCTGACTCCAGTACAATATGTGGAATTCATAGGAGCCTGTCTAGATGCAGTGGAGGCCAAAGCCTTTTCCCCACTACATAGGTTCAATACTCTAACCAAGCGGCGACATGACCCTGCTGTTCCTAGGCAGAGGAACGGCCATGGGGGCTCCATGTGCTGCCCCCACCCTGCCCCGAGCACTGGCTCCGCAGCTCCCATTGGCCAGGGACCGCAGCCTCTGCCTAGGAGCAGCAGGGACATGTTGCTGCTTGTGGGGAGCCACCTAAGGTGAGCGCCACCTGGATCTGGCACACCAAAAGCCCTCCCATGCCCCAACACCCTACCCCAAACCCTCTCCCACACCCAAACTCCCTCCCAGAGCTGGTGCCCCGCACCCTCTCCCACGCCCCAGCCCGAGCCCCCTTCTGCCCCCAAATTCCCTCCCTCTTAGTTAACTGGAATTTTTTACTTACCGGCACCCCGCATTCCCTCAACATGCTGAATAACAAAGCTTTTATTTTATGTTGTTTTTGTATGTTTTCATGAACGTTGAGATTCTGGAGAACAAGATCTCAACTTCAGAGAGGTGCTGGTATGATGTACCAGCTCAGTCAGAGTCCTGCATAAAATGTGTAAATATTAAGAAAAGATATAAATTGTTATGGTATTCCTGAGAGTATAAATAAGGTGTGATCTACACTTTAAAATTGTATCAATCCAACTATTTTGGTTAGGGCTGTATATTTTTTTTTAACTGAAATAGTTATGCTGGTACAGTTCTTAGTGTGCATGCAGTTACAATGGTAGAAAGGTGCCTTATGTTAGTATAGTTTAGTTAGTATATTGTTGTACAAGAATAAGCTATACCAGCATAAGCACTTCTGTACTGGTAGAACTAGGGAGGTTGTACTGCTTTAACTATACCAGTATGATTAAATATATACATCTTTTATGTGTAGACAAGCCTTAAGATGCGCTGGAATTAAATGGCATGAAAGAAAATTTAGTCTGAAAAACGGGAGGGAGGGGTAAGCGCTATTGGATTGTGGAATAATTTCCCAAGAGAAATAGTTGAATGTCTGTGGTTAGTGTCTTTTAAAACTGCACTGGGTAATATATTATATACAGCAGCGGTTCTCAACCAGGGGTCCGCGAGCTCTTTCAAGAGCCCGAGCTGCAGCACCCCCACAGGGCTGAAGTCAGGAGCAAAGTTTGAAGCCCCAATCTGTGGCGCCCCCGTGGGGCTGAAGCTGGGAGGCGTGGGGCTCAACAAGCCCCAATCTCCAGCGCCCCCTGGGGGCTGGAGCTGGGAGGCATGGAGCTGAATCCCAGAGCCCCAAGCCCTGGTGCTCTCCAGGGAGCAGAAACCCTGAGCACATGGACAGAGTTGGGGACATGAAGGTAAGATCTGTCTGGGCCGGGGACCTGGCTTCATGGCTGGCAGAGCCATTGGGGAACAGGGACCGCAGGAGAGCCCTCTCGGCACACAGCCCCTGCACCCTGAGCTTCCGCTCTCCCTGTGCCCTGAGCTACCCCCATGCCCACACACAACCCCAGCTACCCCTCCCTGCACCTTGAGCTACCCCCATGCCTGCACACAGCCCCTAGCTACACCTTCCCTATACCCTGAGCTATGTTGTCCCTGTGCCCTGAGCTACCCCCATGCCTGCACACAGCCCCTAGCTACATAGGCGCGGGAAGAAGAGGTGTGGGGGGCTGCTACTGGCCACAAACCTGCCCCAGCCTCGGCCCCCTTATCCCTGTCCATGTCCCCCCGCTCCTGGAGACATGGCCCTGCTCCTGGCCTCAGCTGATGGGGGAAGGGGAGGCACAAGGTAAAAAGTTTGGGGATAGTTTTGCTGGCTTTCAGCACCCCCACTATAAAAGGCATTCCAGCACCACTGCCTAGCTAACCCCCGCCCTGCACCATAAGCTACATTCTCCCTGCACACTGAGCTACCCCCTCCCTGCATTCTGAACTATCACCCTGCCCGCACAGCCACAGCTACCCTCTCCCTGCACCCTGAGCTACCCCCCTGCCCGCACACAGCCCCAGCTATCCCCTCCCTGCATCTTGAGCTACCCCATCTGCATACAGCCCCTAGCTACCCCCCTGCCTGCACCCTGAGCTGTTTTCAAAGATTTTAAGCTAAGCCCCCCACCTTTGAGTTATAATTTTTGGTTGTGCCCCCCACCCCCCAACCCAGACAGGTGGGTGGCCTGCTGAGGTGAATCGGGGGTGGAGGTGGCATTCCCTCTCTGGACCCCACTGTGCAGAGCTGGCTCGAGCCCCGCTGGCTCCTGCCCGGCCCTCCCGCCCCCGCAATAGACATCAAACTATGTCTATGCCCAAGGACCCTGCCCCGAGGGCCCCCCCGCCCCCGCTGGGCCCTGGAGTTTTTAATAGCATATTGGGGGGGCCTCAGAAAGAAGGAGGTTGAGAACCCTTGATATACAGGACAATCTTGTTTTGGCAGGGGATGGACTAAGTGATGTACAGAAATTGTTCTTAATTTCTATATTACAATTCATCAAAAGGCTAAGATTATACAGTGCCTTTTTCATCCAGCGACCTCAAAGTGCTTTTGTAAATGTGAATTCTGTCTTCTGAAGAAGGTGTCAGTAAGCTAGTTACTATTATTCTCAGACAAACTGATGCACAGATAAGTAGGCTGAGTAATTTACCCAAGTTTTCACAGCCTGTGTGTGGGTGAAGTGCGAATAAAACCCAAGAATCCTGGTTCCCAGCCCCCTGCTTTATCCACTAGACAGGCTCCCTTTGTGTAAGAACGTGTAAGCATGTTTATATGTTACACTAATTCTGTTTATCTAGCCATTGCAGCTTTTCATGAGTTAATATGTGATTTCTCTGCCTTTAATTTGTGAGGTTTATTAGGGAAAAATTAATTTTAAAACTCACTGGGAAACCAGTGGTATCTCATACCTAACTATTAAATTGCCACTGACTGAATTAAAGAACCTTTGAACCTTCTGATTGTAGAAATCTTGAACGTCTTGTATTGAAACTTTATTTTTCCTGCTGGCAATAATGAAACTGGTGAGCTGCAAGCTTTGTTGACTTATCCATGCAATACAAACTGTAAAAAAAATCCAAAGTTCCTTCCCAAGGAAGTGTCTGCTTAGTCTTCCTGTTAGCACTTCCACTGCCCTTGTTCCTTCCCCTGTTGAAGGCTTGTTTCACAGACTGCTTCTATCCCCAGTAACAAAAAAACCCTAACCAGCCTTTTTGTTTCTTTTGACACCAACACAATATGTCAGCCTATGCCTATGAGAGAGCTATATTGAAATAGCTTTCTTTGTGAATTTCTCATTGCTATTCATGGGTGGGGATTGTCGCTTAAGGGTCAAATTAGAACGCAGTCAACCAGAGCGACGACAGTGAGTGGAGCCAGCCTCCAGCTAGATTCCCCCTCCAAGTTCTGAAAAGCTGTTAACTTGGAGTTCATCACATACATTATATATTGGTTTTGTAAAATGCTCTTTTCATACGCACAGGCTGAATTCTGCTGAGTTTGTTCCTCATAGTCTATACTTTGTGGGCTCACCTTTTGCCCCATCTCATTACTTTCATCTTTGTCTGCATCTTAGGTCATTTGTGCCCTTTCTGATGAGCTGTTGATCACTAGTGTTGAACTTCCATCATTTTAAGGAAAACTACTTATTTGAGTGAGATGGATTTTCTGTTATCTTCACTGGGATTATACTGTAGCAAACTTGTAACCCTTGACCCAAAGGAGTTTCAGCACTGAATCCTCCTACAGGGAGAATTTTATAAAGAGCAGATTAGAGATTCTTTGAGCTACATGTAGCTTGTTAGCTCCAAAGATCTGCCTTCATTCAGGTTCCCTGTAGGACTGAAGTTCAGGTGGTTACTTTAAACAGATCAAGGTAGTTTGTGGTTGCAGGCTGTAGCATAGTGTGTATCATAAAACTTGACCAACATCAGTGGATGTTATGTTGGGTTAAATTTCCAACATGGGTGCCTAAAGGTAAGCACCTAAATAAATGGCCTGGTGTTTTTTGTTTTCCATTGTTGCTGAGCATCCCCATCCTCGTAGAACTCAACTTGGAGGTGGGATATTTACACTTCTGAAAATTGGGTAACTCAAGTGCCTAAATATGACTCTGAGTGCCTGACATTAGACCCCCATGTTTTGAACACTTTGGACATAATGTCAAGTTGTACAAGTTTCTGAATCCTGAGTTCCAGAATTTTCAGCCCATGTAAGACACTAGCAATAAATTTCTCCAGTAACAAGTAAGTATTTCCATTGACAACATGTTGGCCAATCTGGCTGTCAGGATTAGCTTCTATAAATGTGGTTTCTCTTTTTCTTCTGAGTTATGCAGAAAATGCTATATATATATATATATATATATATATTTAAATGCTAAATATGTAAATATATATATATATATAAACTGTGACATTCATTCCATATGGAAAGGAGGACATTTGGAATGACCATGTTTAGAAAGAGGCTCTTGGAGCACTAATGCCTCAATAACTAACTTTTCTTCTCCTTCCTTCTATTGTAGCTGATTCTGCTTGAGGCTGCTGTCCTGCTTTCTCTACACTTTTCTAGTCTTAGTGGGTGATGTTACAGCATCTTTAACATTCAGACCCTAATACTCTACTAGGTGTGTATTGCTTGGTTTTCATTGCATGATTTCTAATGTTGCATGGGAGATAGCATTCACTCTAATGCTGCTTGTGTACTCTGGCAACTTTTAGCAAATAAACTGTGAATCAACAGACTTTTTCAATCCCAGTTTTCTGTTATGTTATTCTTTCTCCCCTTCAGATGCACGTAGCTACTATGCCCATACATACACATACATATCACGTTCTGTTTTGCTTTCTCTTATTTGCCTATATTCAGGATACTTCTTGTTACTTCCCACAGCAGTATTCCCTGTTAGTAGGACTCGTTCCTGCTTGGATGCAAACTGGATTGTGAGAGCAGCAGCAAACCATCAGAGGGGCTGAGTATGTTGTTATTCATGAGGTGAACAGGCTATGCAGGCTACTGGGCACACAAGAAAATGGTCACATGCCATGGGATACTGAGGAGCTCTCTGAGAAGCACCTTTTCCTGAGAAGGTTCTGACACATCTCTGCCACCAACTGGCAGACCCTGCTCTGTTTCTAACTGCAGCTCGCTCAAGTACCCACTATTCTTCATTCGCAGGAGGAATAACTGTGAATCCTATACCTGCATTGACTGGAGTGTTTAGGCTAGGATTTTCAAAGCAATGTAAGGGAGTTAGGTGCCCCCACTGAATTTCAGTTAGGGTATGTCTCCATTGTAACTGGAAGTGAGTCTCTTATATGGGTAGACAGACTCATGCTGGCAGGGCTCAAGCTAGTGTACTGAAAACAGCAGTGTGGACGTTGCAGCTTGGGCAGCAGCTCAGGATCCCAAGCCCGCCCGACCCCCTGGGTCTGAGTTTGGGTGCTTAGCCCAAGTCTCTGCTGGAGTTTTAAGTGACCACACCGCTATTTCTTAGCATGCTAGCTCATGGTCTGCTAGCACAGGAGTCTACCTAGGGCTGGGAGGCTGGCTCCCAGCTGCAGTGTAGACATACTCCTAGAGATCAGTGCCTCGCTCCCTCAGGCTCTTTTGAAAACCCCAGGCAATACCCTTCCTCCACCCCCACCAGACCCACTCTCCCATTAGTCCAGAATGCACAATTCAGTGAACAATTAGGGCTTTACTCACATTGCTGAGCACAGTGCAGAGATATGTACACAAAAGAGAGAGAATCTGGAAGTCTCTGCACAAATCCTGAACAAACACAGAGGACTGCTCACTAGCACGTTGACTCTTCGTAGGACAAAATTCTTAGGGACAAATCTCCCCTTTGCAGAAGACTAGCAAAAGGCCTGTGCAGTCCATAAATCTCAAAAGTTACATACCGTAAAACAGGGCATGAGTTGGATGTAAGTGGTGCATAGCTCTTTTGCCGGTCCTTTGCATCAGGGGGAATTTCACCCTAAGTGATCACTTAAACCAGGGGTTCTCAACCTTTTTCTTTCTGAGGCTCCCCACAACACGCTCCAAAATCTCCAGGGCCCCGCTGGGGAGTGGCAGGGGGAGGGTGGCTCAGGGCTCTGGGCTGGGAGGTGGAGAGGAGGTCTCAGGCATAGGTGTAGTTTGATGTCTATTTTGGGTGGGCAGGGGACAGCAGGGGTCGAGCCAGCTCTGCACGGGATCTGGGGAGGGAGCGCCACCTCCACCCCCTGACTCACCTCAGCAGGCCACCCCCTGTCTGGGTTGTGGGGGAGGGGTCGCAACCAAAAATTGTAACTCAAAGGTGGGGGGCTCAGCTCAAAAAGTTTGAAAACAGCTCAGGGTGCAGGGTAGCTAGGGGTTGCATGAGGGAAGGGGGGTAGCTAGGGGCTGTGTGCGGGCAGGGGGTAGCTCAGGGTGCAGAGAAGGGGGTACCTAAGGGCTGTGTGCAGACAGAGGGGTAGCTCAGGGTACAGAGGTTGGGTAGCTAGGGGTGTGTGCCAGGAGGGCTCCCCCTGTGGTAGATGCTCCCTGAGGGCTCTGCCAGCCACAGAGCCGGGTCCCCCCGCCCAGATGGCTTTTACCGGCTGCATGAGCAAAGGGGGCTGGGAGCTGGGGAGCAGCTTCAACCCCCTGCAGCAGCGGGAGATGAGGGAACACCGTGGCTGTCTGCTCCGTGGCACCAGCCAGAGCAGCAGCTGTCCCGCACTGCCCAGCTCTGGCTTCCGGTCTCCGACCTGGCCAGGGGACGGGGAGAGAAAGAGGTGGAGAATGAGGGTGGAGTGCCCCGGGTCTTCCCTGCTCTTGCACTGTAGTTTGGGGTGGGTGAACACCTCTGTGTCCCCCAACTCTGCCTATAGGCTCAGGGCTTCTGCCCCGGGGGGAGCACCGGGGCTCAGGGCTCCGGAATTCAGCCCTCCTGTTCCCAGCTTTGACCCCACAGGGATCGCCGGGAATCAGGGCTTCAATCCCGTGGCTCCTGGCTTCATCCCTGCAAGAGGTGCTGGGGCTGTGGGTTTTCGCGTGGGGCCCCGCGACCCCTGAAATGGTTTGTGGACCCCCCTGGGGGCCAGGGACCCCCTGTTGAGAACCGCTGACTTAAACAACTAGTTTTTGCTTATGTTGACCCATATGAGGCAGCTTGGTGCATTGATTCTAAATATGAGCAATCAGAAAAGACAGATCAATTTACTGCTAGTCTGTATTCTAGCTGTAATACAACATAATAGGACATTTAGAATCACATAGGTAGGACAAAATAGATTTGCTTTTGTCAGCATAGCCTTTGACACTCTTTGTGCAGTTGTTTGCTGTGTTTAAAGTAAGTCTCTAGAATTGCAGCACAAGGAATAATCTTTACCTGGCTGCTATAGTTTAAATATTTTTCATTTATTTATAGGGTTTTCCAGCACACTTTAATTTATTTACAAATGGTAGCAAATTGCAAGTGGCAGGCTGCCTAACTAACTTCATGAGTCAGTACTTTTTTTTTCTAGAAAAGACTGCTGATAGTGTAAATTGTTCAAACACTAGGTAAATAATTGGAAATGCAATCAACAGAAAGCAAGTATTTATCTACTAATAAATCATTTGAAATGCATATGTCAGTCTTTGTCCAACCGTTCTTAAAAGGCATTTAGTGATTCTGCTGCTGTTTCTGCCTAGCAGTCAGAATTTTTATGGTCACTAATTGTGCATTTATTTTCTGCCTGTGTTTCTCTTTGCACAAAGAAAAGAAACACAATATCTATGGTTGCAAAGAGGCTCACATGTTATTTCCTTCATGGAGAGCTATAGGATACTCTAGAGATTGATATTATTTATATCATCTCATTTTTGCAGATGGGGAGAGGTTTTCAGTTGCGTGGCATTAGCAGCCATTTACATTTATTCAAGGATTTTCTGAAGGGGAATCTTTGTCACGTGTTCTCAGAGCATGGCTTGAAAAGTGTACAGCAGCTCAGTGATCAGCCATGTCTTTTTCCTTTGTATTAATGACACCGCTGCTTCAAGTCATCAGTTGGGGGGAGGAGGGGCAGGCAGGACTCTTCATTTTTCAGACTTTTGTTGTTAGATGTTCCTAAGGAGAAAGACAGTGTGAACTCTCTAGCATTTTATTTTTATACTGCTAGGGGAAAGTAGATTTGTAATTTGTTTAAAGTAATTTATACCCCATTTTGGTGTCCTCTCCTTCACCTCACTCCCAACTAATTCCCTTTTTGTAGTTAGACTATGGAAGCATCTTATAGGAATATTTCCAGAGTACCACAGAGATAATAGAAACAGGTGTTCTGGAGAAAGCTTTGTTAGCTCAGGCCAAGAGAGATGCTTGTTGATCACTCAAAACCATTACTTTTCTGAATCTCTAAATTTTGAATGAGCTTTAATTCATGGTAGGTTCATCTGCTAGAGGCTCTGCTTCAGAAAGATCTTGAGTTTACTGTGCTTCCTCTTAGAGGCTATTAGAGGAAGCAGGGTAAGCTTTGTAGTACTGAGTTTTCCACAAAAACAATGAGGAGTTTTCCACAGGAACTCAGCTTCAACCTGCTCTTGAGTTGAGGAATGTAGGGGAACATTTGGAGAGGTGACACCAGGACTTCAACTCATCACATCTATTTTCCTCCTGTTAAAATCACATATGGCAGATCTCTATTTATAGTCTGCGGACCACTGTACAGTCCACGAACCACTCCCAGGGGGTCTGAAGAGCTGCTAACAGTGGGGAGGTATCTGTCAGTTTTCAAACAGTGATTTTTTTCTCCATAGGGACGCAAGTTCAGGACTCTTAAGATTTCCAGAGGATTTTTGGATCAATAAATTAATAAGACGCTTGTCTGCACCCTGGTTTGTCTCTGCCAGGTGTTCCTTTGATATAAATTCAGCCATGATCAAACTTGTGGATGACTCCAAAATTAGAGGGGTACCAAATAAAGGATAGAACCAAACTGCTCTGCAATGATGGGAGATTAGAAAAGTGAGGGCTGCAGACAACAACCAGGGGAAATTCATTCCTAACAGATGAGAAGCCCTACAAGTAGGAAGAGGAAATAAACAGTACAGCTACAGAATAGAGTTACACAAACCTTGTTCTCCATGCAGCAAGTGCACTGCATATCAACCTAACCTCTGCTACTGTATCGCAATTTGACAGCATTTAATAGAAGTAGGAGAAAGGAATGATTTGCTGCTTTCTGCATATGGTATTCCTCGGTGTTCTTCAGTTCATACACTGCAGTATTAATGCAGACTTTGAATGTTTACATATCCCTTAGTTCTGCATGGGTGCAGAAGGGATGTGGGAGAGGGAACAAAGAACTTTCTCTTCCCATGGCACCCTTACAGAGCAGCTCGTTACAGACTAGCACAGTCAATCCGTAAGACTAGCATGGCTGGTGGTGGCAGTCTTCCATCTGCCAGTGAAGAAGGTTGGTTGCAGGGGAGAGTGCATGTCTACAACCTGTTAAAGGTTGGTGGATCTGAGTTAGCCAGAATTCCTTCCATGGTTCCAGCTGCAACTTGAGCCCCTCCACACCTCACTACTGCAGGGTTGTGCCTTGAAGACACAATCCAGCCCAAAGTCTACAAAATACCATGAAGATTCTATTGTGAAATGCCAAAAAAGAAGAAACAAGCCATTGAAGGAAATTAGACTTGTTATGGTGACAGTAGAGGTCTTCTGTTTTTCAGGCGAGACTGAAGAAGAGTGCATAATTCCTTCGCTTTTCCATACAGAAAAGGATCTTGGGCTACTCCTTAGGAGTTAACAATAAGTTGCAGGGCTGCAAGAGTACTTGGTGGGTTTTTTGTAGATAGATAACAAAAGGAACTAGTGGCTTATAGGTTGAGCAGGTAACTATACCCTCTGAATCACATAGAAATGGGATAAAGCCCTTTGAAAGGACTTATTAAGAATTGTTTTAAGTACTGTAGCTTCTGACAAGACAGGAAACTTGCTTGAATTGTGGGGAAAGCAGATAATATTGCCTTGTGAGTGCCTGAGTTCCAGATATTGTAAATAGTGTACTCATTATAGTTTAGTTTCAGTAAAGAGATTGAATTGAAACCACCATGCATCTTTACATAATGTCCATAATTCTTATATCAAAATATTTTGACTCTTCATTAACTTTATACATTTGCAACGTCAGTGGGAAGTTGAGCTTCATGCATCACACACATGCTGAGAGGGCTTATTATGGAGAACATCTTAAAAATGACATAGTCAATGCAGAGACATCTCAAAAGAAACTTGATTGATTTGCTGTGTTTTTCCAACATGTGGAGACAAGCAAACCTGTACATTTTCCATGGAAAGTGTCCTTTTGTTTTTCCTCATTTACATTAGTAGCAAGCAGCTGCATGACTGACTGCTATGTGTGAAAATTCTCATTGGTTATCATGCATGTAAATACCCTGGTAATACAATCTGAGAGAAGGTGGTGAAATCATGGCTTAAAGAAACTTCATCTGTAATTGTGGAGTCTGCATTTAAAAAGCATGTTCTGTGTTATAATTTGCCACCCCTTTCTCTCATTATAGCATGAACATATTTTTGTCCAACTTGCTAAATTTACAAGGATCCTTCAAAATGTGTACCCAATTAGTGACGTTGCTAGGACAAATGAAGTATAAAACCAATAAGGGTGTGGCATTTGTTGTCCAGAAGCATGAAGCTTCACTGTTTGAAAGCTTTAACTATTATCATCCATTCTGTGAAAGACAAAGATGCCAGATGAATAGTTATAAAGAATATGTTCTTCCAGCAAAAAAGAGAAAAGTAATATTATCTTTATATCCTTTTAAAAGTACATTATTATTTGCACAGTGAAATTAGTTTTGCAAGAGGCATGAAAATCTCTTGAGACAGAAGTTTTAAAAGAAAGATCAAAGGAATTAAATAATAATTCTATATAAGGTGAGCATTTTTTTTAAACAGGGAAGCCTTGGGGTAATTACTTTTAATTTAAAATCAAATCAATGGATGGAAATGAAGTCTTTTCAAAGAGCAATTAGAGTTTGCATCTTAGAGTGAATGCTATTTAATAGAGTAATTAACATGTGCTTTTTATTCTTAACCTCTGACCTGTGCCCTCCTGCCCCTTTACCTAACCCTTTCCATTTGCCCTGGTCAGTTAACAGGCAGGAACATTTGAGAACAATCATGGATGATTATGATATCAGGTCTGCTGCCAGCATTTTGGCATCTGTTAAAGAGCAAGAGGCTCGTTTCGAGCGGCTCACCCGTGCACTTGAAGAAGAGCGACGCAATGTCTCCTTGCAGCTTGAACGTGCTAATCAGCCCTCAGAACGAATGAGCATGTGCAACATTGGCAATGGTCAGCCACTGGCAACTGCGTGGCAGCAACTTGTCCTGCAGGTAACAGCCTGCTTCTCTTACCAGTCACTAGAATTCACACCTCCCAGAATATCCCATTCCAGAAAGTAAAGAGCCTCTCCCAATTTATTTGTCATCAGCATTTCATTCCATAGTGTGTATTACGAAACAGAAAAACACTGAACTCAGCATATTTGTTTGACTAATTGAGGTAGCATGGATTACAGCACCTCGGATAAAATGTTACTCTCATCTCTTTTTACCCCTAAGGATGCTTCCTAAAAATGATAGCTCTCTGATAATTAAACCCCAATAAAGACCTTCACACCGGCTCTTATAGCTATGTGCTTGCTACATGTGATGCTATCACTATGCTTTTAAAAGCAGGGCCAAACCGTGATGTCATTATCAAGTAAAGTTTTCTTTTGAAGTCAACTGGAGTTGGTTAGAACAGGGACTGGGTGAAAATGGTGGATTTCCTCTGTTAAGGACTGCAAGCCTACTCCTTGAGTAAGGACTTCAGGATTTGGCACATCGTGTTTATTCAAATGAAGGACTTTGTTCTAAAGTTACAAGCTCTGATCTGTATGTTTGTCTGTTCATAAATCCCAGCCATAGTTTTGCCTCCCGCTTGCTCCTTAACTCTTTTAATGTGAAGTGACAAACTGGTTGTATTTCCAACTGATTCTTTAAACTAGCAAATGATTTGGAAGCCTGTGGCAAATAATGCAGCAGAAACAGTAGTATTGGGAAGGCTGTGGTCCATAATGAAACCCTGATCTGCTAGGGACTTTAGAGCTTGCTTCAATCATACCAGACTCTTGCATTGATCGGTACATGGGTAGGGTTCATGTGATGTCAAAACAGCTTTATGCTAATACATTTTTGGTGGGCAGTATTTCATAGAAGCTGTCCAAGTCAGAGAGTTCTTTCTGGGTGTTCAGTAGCTTACAAATTCAGTGGGTAGATACAGAGGAATTTATTTTGTGAAAGACGGCTGTACAAAACATGGCTGCCATGTTACTCCCTCTAGTCACTGTTTGTTTATCCTTAGCATCTGTTTTCAATTAGGACATTCAGTCACAAAGAATTGGCCTTTACTGCTTGGGCTAAAGGAGTAACTCCATTAGCTGTTAGCAGTTGTAAGTTGTTATCCTGATGATTAGCCACTAGAGGGGGATGCTGCATACATTTTAGAAGAATGGTACACCTGCACCTTTGCTTTTTCTGAGTGACTTTGTGAAAGGTGCCAGATCAGGTACAGTATGAGCTTTCCTGCATGGCTATGCTTTAAAGCCCAATCAACTCCTATTAAAATCAATAGAAGGATTGATGTAACCAGGCCCTAAGTTATCCTTCTTCCGAAAGGGACCACCTGTATAAGTAAAAACCAGAGTTCAGTCTACATGTGTGTTCAGTCCTTGGCCTCTCTGGGGGCTAGACATGAAATGCTTCATTTGTAAATCATTAGTGTTCAGCTTTACATTCACTGTGCGTTTCATCATGAAGGGTACACCCAGCACTTTACAGGCTATATGCTACAGTATATAGGGATCTGTCACTAACCACTGAAAGGCAGCCATTTTTGAATGGCTGTAGATCATTGGTGGGTGACAGATCTCTGTGTAGTAAACAATCTCAAAAAAGATCTATTAGAACTGGTAAAGGTACAGAGAAGGGCAACAAAAATTATTAAGAATATGGAACAGCTTCCATATGAGAAGAGATTAAAAAGACTGGGATTATTCACTATGAAAAAGAGACAACTAAGGGGGGGATGTGATAGTCTATAAAATCATGAATGGTGTGGAGAAAGTGAATAAGGAAGTATTACTTATCCCTTCTCATAACATAAGAACCAGGGGTCACCCAAAGAAACTAATAGGCAGGAGGTTTAAAATAATCATAAGGAAGTACTTCTTCTCACAATGCAGAGTTAACCTGTGGAACTCAATGCCAGGGGACGTAGTGAAAACCAAAAGTATAACTGGGTTCAAAACAGAATTAGATAAATTCATGGAGAATAGGTCCATCAATGACTATTAGCCAAAATGATCAGGGACACCACCCCATGCTTTGGGTGTCCCTAAACCTCTGCCAGAAGCTGGGACTGGACGACAGAGGACTGATCAATTACTCTGTTCAGTTCATTCCCTCTGAAGCATCTGGCACTGGCTGCTGTTGGAAGACAGAATACTGGGCTGGCTGGACCATTGGACTGACCTAGTATGGCCATTCTGGCTTTCAAAAACGTAACCTTGTAGCTAATATTAGAGTTTTTCCATTTGAATCTACAAAGGGAATTATATACCAAATCTAATTATCCCATCTGGAATTTGGGCAAGAAATGAGGATTAACAACCCGTTCTTTTGGAAAGTGCCATATAATCTGTAATGACCCCTGTGACCAGGGCTTCTGTTTTACATCTTGTCTGACAGTTGGGGTGGACACTGGCCAAGAGACTTACTCAGTGAAGTATTTGTAGAGAAAGCTTTGCTGTATGCCTGCAGCAGCATCACTGCTTGCCCTTGTAATAATGCACTCCCGAGCTTCTCCCAGACGTCATTCTTAGCTTCATTTTTGTTCTTTTGTTTTATTTTAAACAAAAAATGCTTTAGAAAAGGGAAGAGGACAGAAGCAAAGTGTGAGAATTGTAATAGTTTCCTGAAGTCCTTTAAAAACAAAATCAAGGACTTATGCAAATGTTGTTTCTAATTCATTCTAGATACCTTGTCAGCTGTACTCCTTTTTTTATTTTTACACCAACCTTAAGCTGTTCGTTATCTCAACAGCATATTCTTGTTCTAGGCTGCAAGCAGCTCAGCTAGCCATTTCACTAAATGGAAAGAAAAATAATCTTATGTCATTCTGTCTGTTCAGCGTGAGCTTGGGAGTGCACAAACAGCACAAGCAAATTGTACTCCATTTGTCTACGTTTGCTGCATATGCTTCAGGCATTATTTAGCAGTGTACATCATCTCTTAACCGCCACCAGGAAATGTCAGATGGGCAAATAATGTCAGAGATGCACTCTAATTGCAAAAAGATTTTTACTTAAGTGTAGCTATTTAAATGGGGGAAAACATGGAGGGGGGGGGTTGCTGAAGGCTTTTAAAAATATTTGTTTTGATGTCCAGGAAAGTCATTTCACCACCTCTCCCACTATAAATACTGAAGAAAAGGTTTGTTCACATGTTAATTGGAAAGGTCTGGAATGATGCTTGAAGTCTTTTTGTCCACAGAACCAAATGCTATGATGTACCATGAAGGGGAAGATCTGCTTAAATATTGTTACCACGCTATGACCCCCCTGAGAGCTGATAAACAGTTGTAACTCCCATTGACTTCAGTGAATTTTGCCTGAGGAAAAACTGGGGGAGCTCAGTTGTACTTGGCTTGCACAGTCCTTTGTTGGAGGCAGCACGCCTGCCAAAGTTCCTGGGTGTGCAGGGGCTGGGTGCTTGCCTCTTGTACTTTCCTTGGTCGGGGGATGATTAACTAACTCCATGTGGGCAGCCAGCTCTGCTGGCAAGTGTGATTCCTGGAGAGAGGAGTAACAAGTTCTATGTGGTTAATGCGGCTAAACAAACCTGGGTAAATGCATTTTATACCATGTGTCTCTTCCAAGTTGTCTCCAAAGGAAGCTTCATGTAGAGGGCATTGCAGTAATCCATTCTAGAAATCCAGAAAGCCATGGATCACAGTGGCAGGGGCTACAATCATAAGAGGAAGCTGTAACTGCCTCCCTAGATGCTGTTGGAAAAAGGGCCCTCTAGAACACCTAGACCACCTTAGATGCAAAGAGAGTCAAAACAAGAGCACACTGGCAGATCATGAGTACTCTGGTCTATCTTGCCACTCAGACAAGCTTGCCCCTGTGATAGATGGTCCCTTACACCACAAATCACAACAATATTCAGGTTGCTCCCATTCCCAAAGGACCGGTCACTTACCCAGGTCAGTTGCATCTCAGATCTCAAGCCAAAAACAAGGCTTGAGCCAATCCTATAATAAACTAACTAAAGGTTTATTAACTATGGAAAAGAAATAAAGAGTTATTTACATGTTTAAAGCAGGTTAACATACTCACACAAATGACAGGTTTCAGAGTAACAGCCGTGTTAGTCTGTATTCGCAAAAAGAAAAGGGGGACTTGTGGCACCTGAGAGACTAACAAATTTATTTGAGCGTAAGCTTTCATGAGCTACAGCTCACTTCAGCGGATGCATTAGCTCATGAAAGCTTATGCTCAGATAAATTTGTTAGTCTCTAAGGTGCCACAAGTCCTCCATTTCACACAAATGAGTTGTAGTGTTAGGTTTCAAAAGATGATAGAAGCTGCTACGATATGCAAGCTCTATATGTTCTTTAGGGCTAACCAAAGCTAAATGGTTGGGGATCCCTTGCTTTTACTTAGAAATCTTTGCCCCTCAGAGTTCAAGCATCATAGAGATAACAGTTTCTTATGGACTTTTATTCCATTCCCCCAGAGCTCAAGATAATGGGACAAGGGTTTGTGCACACAAAGTCTTTTGTCCACTGATGTTATACATGGCTTGTCTGGTGTCTGTGGGCATTCTTTTGTTGGGAAGGAGATGACACTTCTTGTGGTAAACTAATCATAGGACTGGAAGGGACCTCAAGAGGTCATCTAGTCCAGTCCCCTGCACTCAGGGCAGGACTAAGTATTATCTAGATCAGAGGTGGGCAAACTATGGGCTTGTGGGCTGCGTCTGGCCCGTAAGGCCTTTCAATCCAGCCCTCGAGCTCCCACCAGGGAGCAGGGTCAGGGGCTTGCCCCATTCCGGGACTCTAGAGCCTGCACCCCCAGAGCCCGCACCCCCACCCCAGAGCCCACACCCCCAGCCAAAGCCTTCACCCCCTCCTGTACCCCAATTTTGTGAGCATTCATGGCCCACCATACAATTTTTATACCCAGATGTGGCCTTCAGGCCAAAAAGTTTGCCCACCCCTGATCTAGACCATCCCTATAATATTTAAGACTTGTTAATGCTTCACCCCCCGACTGGGGAGTTTATAG